CTTTATTATTAGACTATTATTATAGTTACTATTCAATTCAAGTCAAATAAAAGTTTGTTAAAATAGAATTTACATAGAATATTGTTATGAGTTGAAATTCTGTCTTTAACATTATTTTTATCATCTTGCCGCTGAGCATCTATACCCCAAAGAATGATTTATCATATGTTTGAGGAGGAATTGAAATAATTGAATGATAAAAAGTTGAATACTTCTTTATATTTATACATATTTCCCTTTTTGTTATTTACCTCCTTAATTTTAGTTTGATCAAACTTTTTCTAACTGCAACATACGCATACATACGTACACGTACGTTGAAGTATTTCGTGTTTGCAATACTTAATTAATAATAATTATCACAAGAAATCATATTGTATTATTTCATTCTTTTGTTTATTTCTTTTTTTTCTTCATCGAAAAAAATCGCTTTTTTTTTTGTTTGAAGATGAAACTGATATGTACGTGAAAATGTAGCGAACAGATGATGTTTAAATGATTTAGTAATAAGTTGACATCACAGTCTAAATCTAAGTCTATTTCATTTCTTCCCTTTCCTCTATAAAATCATTTCTGTGTCATTCACTGATCCATTTATTAGCGACTAATGATTTTGTTTTTCAAATTTTATTCTTATGGTTTAAAAAGAAAAATGTAAAAGAATGAAAGAGATATTCAGACGTATTGAACTGTATTGTCTGTCTGCTTCTTTCACTCCATAGTTAAATGAATGAATCGTTATCAAAGGGCTTAAATTATAAATTAATGATTAGGTATATCCCGTATTGTTATACTAACATTTAAAACTATCATTATTAGAAATAAATTCTAATTCCTCAACAATTTTTACAAAAATATGCTTGAGAAATGTTATTTCATATCAAAGGCTGCGTGATTTTGCGTAGAATCGAAGTCACGTCACGTACGTTACGTGGTGGGTCCGGTAATGGTTAGTGGGTTGTTCAGGTATTATGCCCTTGAGAGTTGGTAACTTATATTGTTTGGACTTTTACTTGTATCGTTCTTAATGTTCCACAAATTACTTACATGATGTTGTCAAAGTGTAACGGTGAAAATCATTCAAAAATGCTATAATCCTAACTTCGCAAAGGTACCTCAACTTGTTTGCTAATTTGTGAAGTCATTTGCTCCTAACATTTATAACGGTTCTAATTAGGATGTGTATTAAAACTGTGCAATCAAAAAATTATATCATAGCATAATATATCAATCAAAGGTTTTTCCACAAATGTTAGGACTTCTATTATAATATTTCCATTCAGCAATTATAACGATTCAGTCATAAAACTGGTTTTCAACTGCAGCTTCTATCATTCATTTTCCTGCGACATATAAAAGTTATTTTCCTGATTTTTTAGAATTTTATCATTTTGTTGCTTTTAGCATTGCGTATACACACAGTTACATACATGCATACATACATACATACATACATACACATACATACATACTTTTATCTATACTTACACACGTATATATAACATTTCGCATTTCAACAAAGAATTCTTTTCCTAAGCGATAGTTGTGATCGACGAGTTTTTTTTTTCCTTGTTCCTATATTCAGCTTTTCCTCTTAATATGTTTCAGTTTCCCAGTTCAATTCAATGAGTTAATTACCATTTCTTGTATTTTAAAGGCTTTTTGTGGTAGATATGCAACTTGTTTCATCATTTCATGTATTTTAATTTACTTATTTTCCTAGTAAACAAGACGACATCTTTCTATATTTGAATAGTTATTTTTCATTACTTTTATCATTTCCATTATTAGTTAAGGGCTAATTAATGTTAGTGAGAAGATGTAGTAATTAATATTGGTAATTGATCATCTACCAATATGTGCATCAATAATGGAATTAATGTATATAATATATTTGCATGAGTGTAAAGTTACCTATTTAAAGTTTAATTATTTGTTACAAAAGGGAAAATAATACTTTCTATTTGTTTAACTTACACATACGTTGGGTAAGTTAAGACAAAAAAAAGAGAAATGATAGTTGTAATTATTTTTTACTGTTAATTGAACATTCTTGATTTAATGCAGTAATTAAGAATTCATTATTTTATTAGCATGCTAAAATCGTGACATGCCAGAATTGGTATAAGATTCATCTTTGCTAGATTTTATTATTTTTACGACGATGATTAGTTATAGTAATTGAAGTTATAGTAATACACTTATAGTAATGTAATACACTTATAGTAAATACACTTATAGTAATTGAAGCATTACTTCTGTCAGCCGAAACGAAAAGCAGTAATTGAAATGAAATCGAACCGTAACTTTTTGTGTTACAAGCGATCCATTTGACCTTCTTATCATATCAATTAACTCCTGTCATTTTCTCATACTTGCAGTTATCATTTACCAGTGTTATTCATTTGTGCGTATATCGATGATTGGATAAATTACCCATTTTTCATTAATAGTGACAGTCATAGAATATCAGCTATTATCATTGGCCAGTTAATTATTATCAATAATCGTTTGTTATCAGTCATTGTCGGCAAAAAATAGTTACTATAATGATACTCCACTTCAATATCATTAATACATTGCTATTATTAATCATAGGACAACTACCATATGAATGGTTATGATTAAACATACTTTTTTTCGTTTAAAATACAAATAACATCTTTGAATTAAAATACTTTAGGTTTGTTAAATAATTTTTTTCATCATAAGGCAAATTAATTAGTTGTAATATTGAATCAAGATTTTCTAGAATGTATAAATACAAATTACAATCGTTTCTGTTCTCACCTAATAAAAATTGATGAAAAAAGTAGTAAAATACTATAATATTTGTAATTATTACAATTAAAGTTTATCAGTAGTGTCAGAAATGCTGATATCCGAAATTTAGCCTTGGAATAGTGATCATAGCCTAGATAATGTAAGGGTGAATATCGAATCTTACTATTATTTCTTTGATTTTTCTCGGGAAATTTCTAAATTTATTTTTCTTTTTTCTTTTTTCATCATGCTTTTATCGTATTTTTATCACTATTGTAATTATGTATTGTTAGTATTATACTTGAACAGTATTTCAAAGTTATGTCGTTTTGAAGTGTAAAAAATTTCTTAATGCTTTATATTTATTTCATTATTTCTTCTTTGTCAATTTTCAGGTTAGGAATGAATACTGATTGACAGCGGTAGTATGATTATCAGGAAATGTTTAGTGTTGACACTTTTGCTACAGCTTGATTGCACCATACGTCGTTGTTGGGCTACAGCTGAAGCAACCTTCGATTTTAGCATTGAACTACCTTTTATGGCTACCGCATTTGTGCAAACAGGAGACGAACTACATTATTTTTCGGATATTGGATATCATGATTCTTTGGCTAGTGGTGCGCCCTTAAAAAGGTATTTTTTCTTTTTGTTTTCTTCCATAAGTTACTCCTAAGAGCATTTTTTTTATTATAGTGAATTAAAGATTGAATTCTGAATGATATATTTGTTGTAACATGATGAAATGGATAATGTAGAAAATAAAGCAGAGCAAAAGATGACTTTCAGTTTAGGGTTGGATTCGTAAAGTACCGTTTTTTGGGATTCATCTATTATTTCGATTTAAATTATATACTCAGAATTTTTGCAGCCTTCATTAATAGGAACATTTTTGTTAGTCACATGATCCATTTCAAATTTGAAATTTCAGTTTGAACTCATTTCAGTAACTTATTAATGGAAACTTTTGCAGTGACGATCAGAATGGAGTAATGCTTAACAATCAGTTACAGTTCACTCCTAGTGAATTGCAATTCGATGAACAGTAAACTTTTCTTTCCTTTTTATTTTATAAGTGAACTCATGGATAACCAATAAAAAATTATTAGATAAAGTACTGTCCAATTTCATCCGCTTTCGGTTACTGTGTTTCACTTCCCTTCTAATTGATGATGGAGGTGAAAATTGCAAAATAAACAGCAGCAGCGATAACCTCTAAAATTAAGATGGACCAGGTATTCGGAAATTTGAAATTATGTGGATTTCAAACTTCTCCTTTTAAACTAGCAACATTATTCAATAAGTTTCGATTTTTCAAAATCTTAGGTCAGTGGGGATGGCAAAACAGCAGGAAGTTCGAGTGCACAATCCAACTGCTTCAACAGTTCGGTTCGATGCGATTTCTGGATCCACCGTTCATTTTCACTGCTCATTTCCTGAACATAAGGTGAATTTTTTGATTATTATGTCTGAGAAAGCAGAAAAAGCAAAAATTCGAATGTCCAGAGCTTCGTTATTGTTTGAATAGTCCTTGTTGCAATTTCTTAATTGCTTATTATCATGAATACGCTTTCTAAAAAAAGAAGCCCCGAAACTCTTTCAGACCGTGAATCCTGGTGAGTCAACTACTTTCAGCGTAGTTTTTCTGCCTCGACAAGAAGGCTTGATCGAAAATGTCCTCATTGTGCATTCATCACTGGGATCATTCACTTATTCGGTATGTGTTTTTCTTCTTTGTAATTGTTGTAAAATAATACAGTTACTCACTAACAATAGGGTTTTTGGGACAGCCTCATTCTTAATAGTCTTTTGCTTTCGTATAGCGGGTTTTGTTGGTTCCGGAATTACCTTATTAATCTAGCTTCTTTGCAGAGAAGTTTGGAAATAAGTTCCCTTTTTTCAGCTGTTCCTGAACTGACAAGGCATTGTCGAATTGTTGAAAAATTCTAAAAATTTCTTCTAATACAGGTTAAAGGTAAAGGCAAGGGGAGTCCTTATCGAATACGCCCGTTAGTTGGAGCGAAAATACCGGTTAACGGGACATTGGTATCACCAGTTCAGCTGCACAATCCTCATCCGACAACGTTGCGCGTTACAGAAGTATATACCAGTGATGTTGATTTACATTTGGAACTGCCAGACGTTGCTCCTGAAACTCAGTATCCAGTTTCATTATGGGTATTGTGTAGCTTTTCCTTTTCTGTTATATGAGATGTAGTCTAGTATGAAGATCAACTAACGAAGATTTCATAAGTTTTAAAGCAAAACTCATGGCGTGGAAATTAAGTACAACATGACTTTGTTGATAAGTTGAATTTAGTTACTTGAATTGAGGGTAGCTAGTTCACTTGCTTAAGCACCCCTTTTTATTGAGACATATGTTGAAGAAACTTTGGATCAAACTTTAATTCAAATTTGACTTGAAAATCATATTTTCCTTAACATATAAAACTAGAAAGTTGATGACTTTTGGTACAAACAAGAAGTTCCTATGATTCTAGTTCACCGAGTTTTATTAGCGGTGACCTGAAAAATCCATTTGTTGCAGCATAAAATTATTTCCCCTGCCTAATAATTTAATCGATCTATTTCTGCTCTCATGAATGAAACTTAGGTTTCGTAAAATTGATCTGACATGTAAAAATATTATAAAACATCATTATTTCCTCAGACATGGTTGATATTCTGAGGTCAAGGATGTGACTTTGTTTTAGATAAATATTTTTCCAGGATATTGCTCCGTATGAGACGAAGACTGTAATGAATGCGAAACTACTTGGAGCACGTGAACGAAATTCCAGTGCGTATATAAAAATTAAAACTAATCGGAAAAGACATAAAGTGATTGACGAGCGGTTATCAGAGGATTCAGTTCAGACGAATCTTGGCTTGGAACACGTCGTAGACACACTTATTGTTCCTGTAGAGGTAAATCATTTCGCCGGAGTGTTACCATTGAAGAAAACTGATTTTTTTGTTCGAAAATACTCATACGTGCTAATTTTCGACCATGATATGATTTAGTAGGAAATATGATATATCAGAAGATTACGTATATTTTATTGTTAAACCAAAAAATATATATATATATATATATATATATATTTTGAAGCTCTTTTTAGGTAGAAATTACGAAAAAACGTGGATTATATGCTACGGTAGATTTGTTAGATTTTGGTTTGATTCGATCCGGTGATAAATCTTCTGTATTAATGTTGGAAGTCGTTTCTACACTTGAAAGAGGCATCGAAATTGAGGTACTTTGGATATATATCTTTGTTGCTTTCAACTGATTCTAATTTCTAACACTAGGAATTAATATTGGAGGTCGTTTTCATCTATCATCTGGATAGTTTGATTAATTCAAGAAGTGAGGAACTGGAATTTTTAATTGTTCAAAGTGACTTCTCACTCAAAACGTAGTCGAAGTTTGTCGCACAAATATCCCATGCAATAAACCTCATAAGTCTTATTTTCTTTGAGCGATGTTTTGCTTTCGACTCAGATTTTCTCTTTAAGAATCTTTATGTGGAAAGCAATGAAAAGCTCAATGGTATTTATATGGAATTCGCTTCAAAGCCGCCAATTTCTGTGAAATGTGGAGCCAGACAGCAACCTGGTAC